CAAAAATGGAGGAAATAAGAAATGTACAAAACATTTAAAATGGAAAACCTGAAGCGACAAGACCACTTAGTAACATTCCTAGGCGTAGATGACAGGATAATATTAAAATATATACTACATATATGGTGTTTGAGGGTGTGTATTTTGTAATTTGGCTCAGGATACGATAAAATGGCAAGCTTTCGCGAATACGGATATGAACAGCCATCAAAGGTAAGGAATTCCTTGACCAGTTCACCGACTATTGGCTTCTTAAGAAGGACCTATCCTATTTCACACACATAACAATTCTTTATACTATGAGCCATTTTTGAGTAATCCGACAAGTTCGATTTTAGTTTCATATTGAGCATGGGTTATATTGAATCGATATGAATGAGAATGAAATTCCTACACTTAATTTAGTGTGGACTTCAAAATCAAATTAGTCGGAATTTTCAAACAGCTAGTAGGCAGACACAGTCCTCTCGTAATGCATAGATTTTATGCACTTCTTTTAAACAATACGCAATAATCGTGACTTATTTCGGAGCCTAGCGCTGCTGTGATATTGCATCATTCCCACTTGAACCTATTTTTCTGTACAGACAATTTATATATAATTACAGGCGTTCTCATTCGGAATGCTACTTGAATGTGTCTATCCATTCTTTAATCTATTTCCTACTCAGATAATTTCGATGCATGCCTAATTTTTCTCCAATCGCTGGTATTCGCCGTGCTCCTGCGGCAACTTCTCCACCAAGTTTGTAAGCCAGGTAATCTAACACACAGACTTCACGCTTACCGTGACATTAATTTTGTAACGAAAACATGAAACCGCTCATCGTTGGACCGTAACCTGAGCGAGTTTTCTTTTCTTCTTTGTACCTGAACTCTGTCCACGTGAGATACTGAATCAATTTGATCCACGTTATAAGCCTATTGAGCTTAAAATTAATATAACAATTTGTTAGAACTTCGTAGATGTTACTAATTCATCGGTTCCGTGACAAAAATTCTTTTTGTATTTTATGGAGATCTTGTAATTCTTTTCGTCGTTGCGATGTTGGTGTGGAGCTTTGTTCGGGTTGATTTTCCGTCTGTTTAGGTCAATGGCTGAACCCCCAACATTTATCATAAAATCTTTATAGACCTGCATCTTGGTACAATGCTGCAGTTAGCATGGGTTTCAGGGGCGCTCACCCCATATTAGATTTCTAGTGAAAGAAGCCGGAAAAGAACCATGTTTATTTCGACCGTCTTCTTTCCCTTGTGTTTATGGTACTAGTTTCCTCATCATCCCCTAATTGCCACCAATAATTTCGACTGCATAATGAGTTCTACGTAGGAACATATAGAGAAATTGGGCTAAATTCTTGTGACGTAGTACTTTAGGTTGAGAAACACGAATTTTTAGAAAAATCAATAATGCAGAATCGTAGTAGGACAATGAAATTCTACGATTAACAGAATATATTGCTTGGTTTAGATAAAATACACTAAATAAAGTGATCATATAGGCACAGAGGCCTAAGCTTAATCTGAATTAAAACATGTAATTAAAAAATTTATCAGGACGTTAGAAGTAGAATCGATTGCCGAAACAGATATCGATAACTTACAAGATTTCGATTAACTGAATAAAGCCAAAGATGATATTCGAACTGCTTGGTGGACCTGTATGAACAGATTATACAGACTGCGACATTCTGTGCCACAGAACCTCAAGAACTGTTACCGATTTTAAATAATCTATTTTGAGAGTAATTTCTATTTGAGGCTATATTAACCGTTCGATGTATATGCACTCCAACAAATGACGCCACGCCTAGTTCAAATTATTTTGTTCGACTTTAAAAACAGTCGGGATTACTGTTATTATTGTCTGTATACAATTAAGATGTTCGAACGTGGTATACGATATAATTCGATGATATTCATACCAAGTTTCATAACAATTTGTTTTGTTTCATACTAATCATATGGAACAAATACACACAAAGACATATTTTCTCCCGTAAGTAATAAAGTTTAGAATATATATTATTTAAATCTTGTCCGTCTAATCACAATAAATTCTTATTAAATATTAAAATATTACAATAATTAACATTTAAAATATTTAAAATATTAAATGATGTTCTTTATCGAAATATTCGATTTACAATAGACCATCATTTTTCACGACATGTTTCAGTTCCTAAAAGAACTATCTTCAGGTGTATATAATTATATAAAAATTCAATTCAATAATAACTTAAATACAATTTCTTAAATACAATTTCTATATATTATTTTAGCGTACTTCTTGTTACAATGCACATAATTTTACTACTTATTTAAGTACAGGAAGGAAACTTTGTTGTTACGCGTTACTTTCCACCTATGTCCATCTGACGTGCCCGTCGTTTCGTTAAGTAGTCTACATAAATAAAGTGCTTGAGTAGCAAGCCCGGCGAGGTTTTAGCTCAAGGTTCGTTTCAATGTGATTGGGAGTTCAAAAATACCGACAGTTTATGCTTTAAAGCGAATCACACACACACATGGTAAAGACAAACAAAGCTAGTCCAATCTCATTCCACCATTTTATTTCTGAAACTGAGAAACGTGTGTCATACTTCGGCACTGGCCCAATAATACACGACAGTCTACATACAATCTGAATTTCATTTGTGTGCAGATTCTATATGTCCCATACGGAACTATGACATTTTGATTAAATACATCACTTCATATCGTGTGATTAAGAGACGGCATTTATAACACTAAAAGCGGGTTATAATTGCGGAATGCTTGTTATCATTCGGTTTATAATCTATCATCCTACCGTTGACTACCTAAATCATTAAAGATTTAAATTTACAGAATAATACGATCGCATACTGAGAGTGTTTTAAACAAAATTCTGAATAAAATTTCTAGGTCCAAAACAGAGCAAAAGTAATTCTATAACAGAAGCTTGGTGAAAATTACATAACGAGGAACTTATTAATATGTGCTCTTCACTTTTCAAGGTACGCGCAGTGTTTTGAGATCGACACGGAAAACACAGGTGTAACACGCAACGTGGACATGGAAGATATAAAATTAATACAAAAATTTTAAATGGAATATCTAGAGGAAAAAGACCTGGGAACTTATGAGAGGATAACGTTAAGATATGTGAGTCATGAAGGTAGCAGGTGTGTATTTCATATTAAAATTCCATTGTTTCAGAAAAAAGAATGTAAGAGAGGGACTTACATCTGACAGGAAATTCTCCTCCTTGTATGAATTCCCAAAGTTTATTACAGTGTTTACAAAAGTCCTTAACTGGACCATCTTCCAGACTCTATACTGTCTTTTTAACATTCGTCTTAACTTAAAATTAAATTATTTGGTTATTCCGTCAAATCACAATGTATTTAAAATAAGATTTAAAATCGATTATTCGATATGGAACACAGAATGATATTTTAATTATTTTAATTATCTTATTTTAAATACATTGTGATTTGACGGAATAACCAAATAATTTAATTTTAAGTTAAGACGAATGTTAAAAAGACAGTATAGAGTCTGGAAGATGGTCCAGTTAAGGACTTTTGTAAACACTGTAATAAACTTTGGGAATTCATACAAGGAGGAGAATTTCCTGTCAGATGTAAGTCCCTCTCTTACATTCTTTTTTCTGAAACAATGGAATTTTAATATGAAATACACACCTGCTACCTTCATGACTCACATAACATTTCCAGTGTAATTCATATTTCTCCTTCCGTTCAAAATCATTCCCTCAGCATTTACTAGCTCGTATTAATTCGGGTGAGAAGTGCTGTAAAATGTATAAAATGTGCTTTTACCTAGAGCATATCCTACCAAAATACCAAATGCACGAATGACCGCGTGCTATTAACACATACACAGAGGCAGGGATTAAAAAAACAATTCCTACGCTGCTGTCGCACAGAGGACAAAAATCTGGCTTGCGTTTTTCAAATGGTAACCTTATTTTGAACATTTCAGGGCAACAGTGATTTTCTATGCTAACCTGCTTTGAAATAAACAAACATACCCAAAATATTGCCTACAGTGTTTGCCAAGTGTAATTCGCATCGTAATTTCGCAGCTTTGTTGTATGTATAGATTCTACATTCCTGGCTCTAAAAGAATCTATACGATTAAATTAATGCGTATTTCAAAATAAAATCCAATTTAACACATTTACGTTTAAACATTATTAACAACCACAGGATAGAAAAACACATTGAAACAAAATACTGCTACAATGTACTTTTACACTAACAAAACAGTTTAGTACGCTAGACAATTCGTTGATGTTGTAACCCGAAAAATAAAAGTTTTCACAGCTGAAATAAATCTGATCAAGCAGGATATTAAATGATTAAATGTGAATAAAAACTTTCCAGTTTAAAACTGGCACATACAACAAAGTGACAATTTAATAATATGTCACAATTTTTTTATAGTAGATTTTTACATAAGCCTCATCGTAAACATATGAAAGGTTTTCCATCCCGATCCCAAGAGGACTGGTACATGAGTGAAGATGGAAGGGCAGTGGAAAGATCGGAGAAGAACCTATTGCATGCAACTTTGTCCATCACAAATCCCACTTGGACAGCCCTTGGCGAACCCAGGCCTCCGCGATGAAAGGTAGTCGACTAACCCTAAGAGTTATGTTCAAAGTTAGTATCGTTTCTATCTGATACTTCTATTTGATTTTACATTTAAAATTAATCGTTCAGAATTAAAATGTGCTAATAATTATTCATAATTAACAGGCCTACTTAACTAACTAGATGGCTTACGGAACCCGAAGGTTCGTGACCGAATTAATCAAAGCCCTCCACCTGACCCTGTCCTGGGCTAACAAAATCCAGTCTCCTTCAACTCCTATCTTCCATGGATCCCGCCTGACATTAACCTCCCATCTACGTCTCCCCAGCGGTCTCTTCCCCCAGGCTTCCCAATCAGGCCTACTTATATAATTTATAATTAATACGAAATTTACTTACTGCTGACGAAGATGTAATTCTTCTTAGTAGAAATCTCTGCAGAATCTTTCTCTGATGACTTTATATTGTTACGTAACACTTTCCTTCTGCAACAGGTCCTAAAAGACTCTGTCGAACACTCTCACCCACACTCACATGCAAGGAATCTGTCCAAACAGTCAACTATTATTACTTTGATATTTCAAGGAAAGATCGAAACTGGTGTCATTCAAAGTTTGCCGCGTAGTACTTGAATCTTACAGTTCGATTCTTAACATTCAATTGTCAATTGTTTAGTAAGTTATCATCCACTAAGCATTACAGAACCACTTTTCAATACAATATTAACTAACCAATCAATGTCCATGCATTCTGTTGTAACAAATAACTGAAAAACGTACGCTAACACTATTTACATAAACAAACCACAACACCCTGCTAAACAACCTAAAATGACAGCAGCCACCGTTGTAACCACTGTAGCACTACGAACTTTCATAAACATCCACCCTGCTACATGGCGCTAACAGTCAGCAAACGAAAGAGACTGAATAGGGATGTGCGCCGTAACCGTAACAACCATCCCCCTTCAACCGAGAGACGACAATGCTAACGACATCTATCATTAACAAAGTAAAATTACTTAAATAAATTATGTATTCAGTATACGCTATAACCAAAAGATGTCGATCATAACCCCTCTTGTTAGTTGGAAACAAGCAGAGTAGCTGCGTTTCAAATGATGAAAATAAGAGTATAGACGTTGAAATTATCCGTGATAACAAATAATTACACATGCTTCGCGATGTTTGTTCATGAAAACAATAACTGTACAATAAATAATTTGGAGGACTTATCTATGACAGATATAAGAGAATTAATAAAATGCACATGAGTAGGAGCAAAATGATGTTAAGTTTTTTTAAAAGTATTAACAGAAGCAAAATAATTCTCGTAAGACTGACTGTAGTTATAAACTAGCATTATGATTGCATTTTCAAATTTACTTGCATCAACTGTAAAAGTACACAACCCAGAAGTAGATTATGGCTATGTGAAAATGGAGACAGGGTTTACAAACAAATGTTTGTTAAAATCAAACATGTCAGTGTTTACAGAGCAAGTCAAATTGCTCTTTGCTTGAGTTGATTAGTGATATACAGAACAAATATTTTCACTACACCAACAGTGTAAAAGATAGACTTCCACAGTTCATTTTCTATAACTCTGGCTCAGACCAATGGTACATAAAGTCAGTGTGATTTAGTTTTGGTACTTATGTTTCCTACAGCATAAAATTCAAAAGGTTGTTGTCTAAATCCACATAAATTACCTAAGAAAATGCAGTAAAGTTTGTATCAATTTTAGAATGACATTAATTATAATTCAAACTATCCCAATAAGACTTACTGAAATAAGTGTCATTGTCACAGATCAGTTAGTAAAGCACACAATTCTGTAATACAAACTTAATGGCAAATCAATGTATCTTTATTAATGGTCTGACTCACATTTTACAATCTGGCACACTTGACCTGACAACCACAATCTACCGAGACAAAATATGCTAAATTTCTTCTGTTGCAATTAACTTAAATCTCAAGAGGATGACATTCCTGTATATTTTTAGGATCAGAACAAAATAGATGACTAAGCTAGGCATACAAGCTTTACATTGTGATTTTCAACCAAGAAGTTAATTTCTTGCATGTGGAGTTGGAGACAGAACAAAATCAAATGTAATCATAATATTTCATGTTGTGTTGTATCTGTTGAATTAAAACTGTACCATTCTTAAATTAGCATACTTTTATTACTTGCCATTTGTTCCACATTGACAAGGTTATATTTACTGTTATTGAAGGATGGAAAGTAAGAGCTTTGAAATCTTAAATTCCTTATTTCAACATCCAATTTCCTGACTAACAGCAATAACTTCTTTAAAGTACATAGCTTCAGAAACTTTAAACATTTAGAAATTCCAACAACTCTAAAACTCAAATGTACATTATATGCATATTGAACAGGTGACATGTGATTCAACAGACAAGAGAGCAAGGAGATGACAGAAAAAAATTCTAGAAAATTACTGTTAAATCTTTCTTTATCACCTTAGAAGTTTGATGTGATAAATATCTAGCCGTTTCCAACACATACATGGTTAAGTGCTACGTTGAATCCTATCTCACTGACTATCAACCTTACACCTTTCTTCTGAAACTATACTACTGTCCAACAATCTTAAAATCAGAAGCCATATTCAATTCTCTGTCTTAAATATTCTTCTGCTAAGGAAATTAACAAAATGGAGTCCATCCCCAAGGCAAAGGGGTGGTCTTATGTCATTACAATTAAATTATCTGACACTTAATTTCAACTTTACAATAAAAATAATGCTAAGATTGCCATGACATACAATAATGTCTTTACCACAGAAATAAATATAACTCTACAGTGACCCTGTCCATTTTACTTCAAAGATAAAAGTAGTTATAATTATTTCATGTTAAGAAAACTCAGGAACTGGAAAAAATATTTGAAAGGTAATTGTGATAATCATCACAAGGTGATAATCACAGCAAGTGTAATGTTTCATGCTGTGCTGCCAATTTGTGACTTTCTTCAGTTGTTCCAAGCAAATACCAGGGCAGTACCCTAAATTAAGCCATGATCAGTTACTTCCACATAATTTCCAATTAATCATTCACTAATAATCCTACAATTTTAACTATATATAATCAAAGCTAACAACAGCATCATTAAATAAACCACAAATAAATAAACAATGCCAACACACCTCATACATTTGCTGAAAAGTTTATGGAGCACAAAATTCTGTCAACTGTGTTTTTACAATTCACAAATCTGCTTGCACAAAATATATAATTACAGAGCCTGCTGAGATTTTGACAGCAATACTTTAAAAGACAATGACAATATAGTAGAAGAATATATGCAACATATTATATTATATAACATATTACACTTAACACACATCACCAATGTCTTGTACTAAAAGCTTTTTACAAGTTTTGATTAAGGTAGATAAAGTTTTAATAAACTGGAAGTCATGTTAATTTGTATCAGGAACCAACACAATTCTTTCTATAAATTTTAAGTTTACAGTCACACATGTGCTCATATCAGAAGTCTCTTTGCCTGGTCCATGGTATAAAGCAGGGGTGTCTTAAATTAGAAAATCTCTGCTACGAAAAGACGGGAATACTGTTTCGCCTTTCCTTATGCAGAAAAGATTAAACATTCGAAATTACATTAAACGTTTCTTTAGAGTTCCATTTTACGAGGCGCGTCCACAAAGTAAGTTTCTCACTCGTCCCACAGCTAGCAAACCTTATATTGTGCGAAGCGACTGTGCGTACGTGATAGAGCAATGACGTAGCATGGCGCATGCACTAACGGTACTTCCCGCGTTCTCACAGTAGCATCGTTGCAGCTGTTGAAGATGGAGGTTCTTATTCCAGCTCCCGCCGACTGTGAAGTGCGGTCAGTGATAACGCTAGGCCGCACACGGCTCGACGGACAGCAAGTCTCCTGCCGGAGTTCAGCTGGGAGGTGTTTAATCATCGACCCTACAGCCCGGACCTCGCTCCCAGTCATTTCCATCTTTTCCTACACCTCAAGAAATTCCTGTCCGGTCAGCGTCAGCGTTTTGAGAATGACAGAGAGGCGGAGATGGTTGTCACACAGTGGTTCCAATCCCAGGCGGGCGACTTCTACGACACAGGTATTCAAAAGTTGGTCCCACGGTATGACAAATGTCTCAATTCCGGTGGCGAATATGTTGAAAAATAGCTGGACACTTGCTGTATCTGTTGCAATAAATATTTCCATGAAATTGTGTTTTGTTTCTGTAAACGGCCCCAGGGAAACTTACTTTTGGGACGCGCCTCGTATTTTCATGTAAAAAAAGTCGTTTCCTGCACCTATGAAGGCATAAAGTGACACAGATGTAGAACTCCATACATTCTTAACCTCAGCACTTGACAGACATGAATGGTCAGCTTCACTGTGGCCACTTTATCGCCAGAGGAAAAAATTCTGAAGCCAGGCATATACTACAGCTGTTGTAGATGATGTGAAAAACAAAAATTCCTGCTCCTATCAGGAATCACACTCTAATCATCTAACCATAACTAATAAACATTTACATGATCTGAAAATATTAGGCATATTGTTTCATGAATTCTCTAACAAAAGATTAATTTGTTAATGGTTCAATATTAATGCAAATATCAGTGCACTAATGTTAATGAGTAATTAGTTTATCATAATTATAAATTTTTTATACTACTTAAAACAAATGTGCTACATTTAGGACTGTAAATTTCTATGACTTCTGTGTATGCAGAAAATTTAAACATCCATACAAGCCGAATGCAAACCCCAGAAATCAGGCAGTTTTGTTACAGGTCCCATTTATAGGTAGCTGCAACAAGAGTAACATAATAAAATATTTAAAGACAAAATAAATAGTCTCATGAACAGAAAAGCAAATAAAACAATAAAAAGCATAACAAAGGAAATCGTTATTCAGGTTGGAACGTGACTGGATGATATATGTCACAACTTCTGATAAGTATTCTCTTATCCTCTGCAGTCAAAAACGCTTCACATTCATATGAATCTGTATTACACATAATGAAAGCACTGTAATATTTCAGTTTCTGTATGGAACTCTCAAGACTATGAAGACAACCTTGATGAAAATAAAACAGAGCAGAAATGTATTCCTATGTATCTACACACATCTTTCCCAAATGCATTCATTGTTATTTTGCACACCTCACTGACCTTAATAATCACCTACTCTACACAAAAATCTACAGTTGAAAAAGTTTCCATACTAGTCTAAATATCACGATTTTCCTTGCATTTCACTTAACATTCATCATATCAAAAACATTTAAAATAAAGGTTTCAAATCTTAATGAGAAGTGTTTTATTTCATATACAAATATTTTGTAGAATTATTTGTTTTTAATAAAATCAATGAATGTGAAGTAAACATTATGCTAGGCTGATATTTTTAGTCTACATCCCCAACACTAAATTTCACAAAAATCTGTTTCAGTTCTATCATAATTTGACTTTTACAATTTCTTAACTTATTAACATAGTTAGGCGCATATAAAATAGAGTAGGATTTCTATGTTATTCTCACTCTAATCCCTTTGTTTGTATTTCAGGTAATCATGTTATACACATATTGAGAAGGCAGTAGCATGTGTCCATTCCTTAACAAAATTGTAGTTTGCACTGAATATTCGTGCATACCATCAATTACACTCCAAGTCAATGACTGAACAGGGAGCAATTCATACAGCTTAATAAATAAACATATTTGTTAAAATTAAAGGTAGTTAAGTTCAAAATAGTATTTGCAGTCCCAAGCATTGAGAATTCTAGTAACATTTCCGTGTAACATCAACTTTCGCTTGAGCTGTACAGCACAAGTACACGTTTTGTTATACCAGCACTTACCTAGTTTTTTTTGTTTTGTTTTTTTGTCATGTGCAGTTCTGCCAGGTGGATGAGTAGAACTACCTCATCATCTCTCAATCTGTGAACAGTATATCAGCATCATACTATGTGAATATGAGGTGCCAACATCTGCCATAATTCAACGTGGTGAACCAGAAGGAAATAGGCACATGCTGATTACATTTTCAATGTGGAAAAGTTGAACAGCCTTCTAAACTCACTGTTGCACTTCTCACTTAACTCCGTTGCTCATTTTTCTGACAAGAGTCCGTAATAAGTCCTTCTGTTCTGATGTTAAATGACACCAAAGTTCAGCTTCAAGGATGCACAATGATTCCATATCATGTGACTGGCATGCCATAACTAGAGACTGGAGTAGAAGAAACTGATCTTCTGTCAGGAAACTCACTGCAAATATTAACAAGTCAATAATGAACCTTGATAAATACTACGTGAAAGTGCAATAGTTTCGCTCAGCCATTTATATTTTACAGTTAAAACTTCAAGAAGTACAGAAAAATATGTTTCAGAATTCCTTACTGCTTAACCTGTTAGCACCATCTGACATGGAAAGTACTACATTAAACAATAATTCCTCTCACCCCCTACATGTCTTGCCTACCATGTTTTAACAAAGCTGATAATAGCTGTGTAAAATACAGCGATTTCAATCTAGGCAATTTTGTGAGTATAAAGCCTTATCTTCTTTGCCCTCAGGATATATAAACTGATTTAAATGTTATGATCCTGAAAGGCTAAGCATGTGAACATACCCTTTAAAACAGATTGAAAGAAATTTAATTTTAATTACCTGGCACTTTTCCATCCTCACCCCAAGCATACTTCTCCAGCACTTGGGCGAGATCTTGAGGCAGACGTTGTGCTGTAGGTTGCAAAATTAACAGGAGTAGAACGCGTGTTACTTCACACCTTGAAGAAAACAATTCACTTTTTTTACAAATTGGGTTCTTCATGGATTTTGTACCTCAAATAAACACATACAAGAAAGGCCAGAACTGAATTCTACAATTCCTTCATGCAGTTGTTGTCAATGTCTGAATGTTATAAAGAAATAATCTTAATTTCCTACCAATGTTAACAACAAACAACTGAAAATAAGTTGTTGGAAGTGGGGTTATATAATGGTTTAGTGTGCTTTTAAAGAGTTTTATGCTATAAAAGTCATCTTTCTTCTACTGCAGTACAATACTCATTTTCAGCAAAGCACTATAAAGCAGATCATGTGCCTGCAGGATAAGTAATGTGCACAATATACCTGTGCATGATATCACAGTAAACACCCAATGGTGGCTTCCCACCATATTCAACAACTGACACCATCTCGTTAAACACAGACAGAGCGCCATCAAAGTCACCTGAAACAGAACATACTGCTGTTTCTCTACATGTCCTACCATTCTGATGCAGTCAGAAATTCTATTTACATCTTCCACAAATTTATGTCACAACCATTCCCGTAAAACTTATCAACATGACTGTTGCAGATTAAGTTATAATTACATAAAGAAGTGAATGCAGTTTATATGGAAGTACAATGGAATCCTACTACAATATGGTTTCATGCCAACTTCACGTTCTCGAAAAAAAAATCCATATAATAATGCTTTTTGCAGATATACTGGGAAAATAATCAACCAAATAACATCATGGGGCATAGTATTTCTTGAAAAGCTAAGTCAGTAAGGTAGTCAAGAAATTACACAGCTTTTATTTGTGGAACCCAAAAGATCATTACTGTATTCAAGAGCCTGCCACTGGTCCCTTGTGTGAGGGAAATGGAGCCTAATCACACCCTCACACCATATTTCCTTCAGATCCAGTACAATATTATCTTTCCATCTATGCCTGTGTCTTCCAAGGGGGCAATTTCCTTCAGGTTTTTGGTCACAGTACATATGCCACTTTCTATATACTTAATGTAACCATGGTATGTCATTTCGAAACTAAAACTGAACACACTGTAAAATTAAATGGTATTCAGAAAGTCCTTCTTCTGCAGGTTGGAATAGCAACATCTTACTTACTATGGCAATCACTGTGATACACTGTCAACACAATGTGAGATTTCAGGTTCTCATGGTGGCGAGCATGAATAAAACTGTATGCTGGGATGATGCACTGGGCAGTCTCACAGAAGCTGACATGCTTCAAAGGTCCTGATGATGTAGGTGGTAAGCACCTCTGAAATGTCAGTCAATCTCTAGGAGAACATGCAGTGTAACGTCCCAGAAGGCAGTTATCTGCCAATATATACTTCATCCCAACAGTTTACCGAAATCTTTGCTACAAATGATGAAAGCATTATAATTTAATGTAAAATAAAATGTGATGGCAAGCCTCCTAAAGGAGTTTTAAGTAATGAGTCTGACCTAGTTCAATTTTGCAGGTTGCTAACAGACCCAAACTGTTCAGCTGCTCAAGGGGGCTGCTCCGCTGCATATCTGCTGCATGCCTGTACTGTGTTGCTGCCTCTGCTATCCTGTCCAAGTCTACCCTAAGTGCCTGCCCCAATTCCAGCGCTAGGCCTGCAGCCAGTGGAGATTGTGACTGGTGACTGCCACTCAGTGGTTGGTCCTGGTTATGCTGGTGTTGCCATCTACTGGCAGCATGTGAAAATGAGCTGATTGCTGCCTGCAACACAAAACAGTCAAATGGTACCTGAATAAACCATAACTCAAAGATTGGATTTTTGTACCACGATGATGTATAGGACATTGCAGAATATTTTATATTATTCATGTTATGCAAATTATGACATGCACAGATAAGATATCTTACTCTCACTGACAAACAAAAGCAGAATGAAACAGAAATATAGTTCAGAAAATTATAAAGAAACTGCTAGGAGCCAGACATAGGGAACTATACAAACCAAGCCATTCAGATGTACGAGGGAGTGAAAATACAGCTCTAAGTATTCCTAAGCTCAGCACAAGACAGAAGTGAGTGGTTGATTTCATGCCTCAGCTGTTACATCCACAAGGACACAACCCTGATACCTACACTTTTACTATTCAACCATTTTTTAGTACATACACATACATCTGTCAGTGAGGGGGAAGAAAGCATATTTTATCTTCACAGATGGAGCAGAAGCCAGCAGCTTTATTTGTGTATTTTATTTTTAGTTTATTTAATAACGCTCTCAGCAACTCAGATATAGCATAAAATGAGGGGTTGGTAGAGAATAATGAATTGTAAAGGATGTGGACAGAAGTGGCCATAGCCTAATTTAAAGGTACCATACCAACATTTGCCTGTATGGACTGAGAAACCCCACGAAAAACACCTCAGTCAGGATTGCTGGTGTCTGTAAGAAGATTTTAACCTGAAACCTCTCAAACACAAAGCAGGAGTCCTAACCTCTCTACCAAAATGTTTGATCACAAGTCAACGTTGTCAGCTATCCAAGGAATAACAGCAAAAATCATCAGAAAGAACCATGATAGAAATGGTACGAAAGGACATGGCATTTGGAGTTGGAAAGGCATTGGGGAAACATTACCTGAGGGCAGTAACAGATTATCCAAATATTTAATGTGTTTAAAGTTACTACAGATAAGTGCTTGATTACGACCTCACCAGTTTATTGGTCAATTATTTACTGGGTTAGTAATCCAAATATAGTTCAGCAGTGGCTAGCAGAAATTAATCCAAAGTTTCTTTCACTTAAAATTAATTCGCAAATAATGCTGAAGTAAAATACAGATATTTAGTACCTGAACATGTTCACCTCCTGGACTTGGGCATCCAAGGTCTTTTGCACAGATTTCTGCCCTCAGAAATTGTCTTCCCGCACGAACTAAGTCCCATGCTTCACCAGAGGCATTTCCTAGTGAACTTTCACATCTGGCAGCTGCTATCCAACACAACCCTGCATATTGTGGCAGTTCCTCATGCTCACACTGAAGTGCAAGTTTTCCTGCATACACATAATACAAAAGATACATTACGTACATCGCACAAACTATATTAAAACTTTTAATCTGCAGACTTACACTGTTACATAAAGAAACAATTCACCGATGCTCACCAAATTGATCGCTAGCTTCAGTTACATTTGGTTTTCTAAGAAATCGCCTGAAACACAAAATTAATGTAATTCTTATTTTCATCTGACATATGACAGCCTCATTAACACCACCCAGAACTATCACGACCAAACTTCATTACACAAAATAACTTATTTGCTTTACATACTTCTTCAATTTATTCGAAATTGCTCGATAGTATCCTAAAAAGTCATTACAACCACTGCCACTATCTGCCATTTTATTCCTCCTGCCCTCTATCTCAGAATACTGAAACTACATGAAACAATTGAGGCATGCATGTAGGTATCGCTCAAACAGCATACGCAATAACATACGTTGTGACATCTTTGTGTCGTTATCAGGAACGTTGATTTAAATTGTTACTCCCATGCGTCACATAACAGCCTAATAAAAACCATATAAAACTTTTAAGACCATGCTTCATTACATAAAATTATTCTTTCATTTTATTTACTCTTTAAAGTTGTTATAAACTGCTCGGTACTGTATTACGACTATTAAAACACGACATCATTTTTACCAACTGCCCTCCTACGGAAGAATTATGAAATTACATTAAACAATTGCGACGACTAAATAACTCGTTGGTGCGAACACTACGTCGTCCAGTGGACAGCGTACGTTGTGACATCTTAGAGTCATTGACAGTAACTACTACCACCAGAAATCAACTTATACACAACAGATGTCGCAAGACGTCAGCGGTAGCGAAGATTTGTAATGTATATTCTGTATATCGAATGAAATACACTTGGGCTGCAAACCGCGTAAGCTTCTCTTCATATACTCTGTTTAATTTGATCATCTATTACATTCATGTCTTCGTATTTGGCCATATTGGTATCATTTTGGTAGTCGCTGACGTGAAAACACCAACAAAAATGGTTTGGAGTGTTCGGTGTATGTTGCGGAGAACATGGTGCTAAGAT